CTCTTGGCTAGGAGATTGAAATGTTTGCTTTAAACCAAAAAATTTATCTGGAAAAGAAAAAGAAAATACAGAACTGGAACTTAGGATTTCTTGGTGCAAATGATGATATGCATCTGGAACTGGGAGTGGATTAAATAAGAAGATAGAAGAAAAGATATGTGATTTGTGAAAGAGGGATGATAGCAATGCAAGGATTTTCAATTTAGTTCCCATAACTAGAAGCAAAATCAATTAACTGATTTCATAATTAAAGTGGGACACTGAAGCACTGGGGGCCATATGTATATTAGCCCCCTCTCCTCATGCTGGCAAGTTATTATAACTGTTAAACAAAGTACCAGGCTGAGTGAAGGTGAGAACCAGCCTTGGGGGTTTGTTTCAAAGGTGTGAGGTGCCTAGGGTGTATTGCCCATAATTTGGAAGTGGTCATGTGAATCTTGTTTTCAGGATCTTTGAACCTTTGTCTTAAATGGTAGAACCTTGAAAATCACCTTCAGGCTGTTTCTAGCTGATAACTTGCTCTTCATAAAGTTGTGCCTCCACACATCATCCTTGAAATTTCAATGTATAAAACCAAAGGATTGACACTTTTAAAAGCTAAGGTTTGGTTATCTTGTGATATTTGCAGTTTTTAACTGAGAATACTGATTTCATGGTTGTTGGGATCATTGGTCCACTGGGTGCTGGCAAGTCAACGATCATGAATGAGCTTTATGGCTTTGATGGAATATCACCAGGTGAGTAATTGTTTCTATTTTTAATGAAATATAACATGATTTCCTAATTTGTTCTCTTGAAAATCATTTTAAATGATGCTTAGGCGATGGTGTAAGTTGTTTTTTCACTTTCCTTGCAGAGTTGGAGTGCTAACACATTTTTTGAATTGATTCAGCATCTTTGTTATTATTTTTTAAATGTATTTTGCAAGTATAGTACTTTGTTTTTGGTAAGAAGAACTGTGGTGAAGTAAGGGTTGTTGTAGAAATTTCATGCTTAGTGGTTTCAGAATTTTCCTCCTAGCTTCCTCCGAC